TTTGTTTTGTTTTTTGTTTATGTAAGTCAATCAAACAGAAACCAGACAAAGAAGGCAGGAATTAGCATTGCATAAGTTAGGTCATTTCAATAAGTTTCATTGAGCCTAGATGTTTTGGATTAGGGGAATAGTTGCTGTTACAAGGTGATATGCATTTGTCCCAAAGGCCTCGCTAGCTGTGTTTTTGCTCACAAAATGTGGCCCCCCTGGTTCTTCTCGCTAAATTTAACAAAGCTAGTAGCAAAATCCTAGGCAGAATGGCCTCTAGCAACTCTCCTGCAGGAACTGGCAGATGTGTTGATTGACATTGTCTTTTAAAAGAAAGAAAATGTAGGTGTTGCACCAAAAATACATTTTAGCTTCTTTCTGCCTGCAGGTTTGTTTGGAATTACATAGTTCAGTCTGTTCCTGAGAGATTATCTTCTTGAAGTGTATACTGATTTAAATTTTCCAATTGAAATCATTGCCTTTGGTGCCCATCACTATTGCTTGCAACAGGCAAGAAACAGTTGTTTTTCACAAGATAATTTCCCTGCATGAACACTTCCTCAGGCTAGTGCCAGTAGAATRTATTTGAACCTAGACTGAGACCTGAAAGTATCTCCAAGAGGAATGTTTACATGTAATTCTTTAGGCTATTATTGATGTCTTTGTATTTGGTATTTGTATCTTTGTATCTACATGCAGATATCTTTGTCTTTTCAGCTGAGCCACCAAGAATTCTAACTCCTGCCAATAAACTGTATCAAGTCATCGCAGACAGTCCTGCATTGCTGGACTGTGCTTATTTTGGGTCGCCTAAGCCTGAAATTGAATGGTGAGCTCTAGTTGTGCTTAAGTTACAGAAGTTGAGTCAGTTATAACTATGGAAACAAACACCTAAAGCTTTAAAACTGTTTTAACTCTATTTACAATTTTAAAATAGTGTATTTTAAAATATATTCTGATTACAATTCGCTCATTGTATCAGCATATACAATTGTATATGTTAATTGTACATACTACATATGCTTAATGCAATAGCAGTAAGGTTAGGCCTACAGAGTCAAGTTTAAATTTCTTTGTCTCCTTYTGTCTTTATTTTCTAATGTGGCAGCCCTGAGTTTGTATTTTATTGTTAATAAAATCATACAGAATTTAGCTATGATGCTGGATAATAAAATTACTTTTTATATAAAGGTTTAGGGGAGTGAAAGGTAGCATCTTGCGTGGAAATGAATACGTTTTCCATGATAATGGAACCTTGGAAATTCCGGTGGCTCAGAAGGATAGTGCTGGTACATACACGTGTGTGGCAAGGAATGAATTAGGAAAGGTACAAAATGAGGTGCAGTTGGAAATTAAAGGTGAGAAATTAATCACTTTTTCATCATTGATTGGTACAGAATTTCAGACTTTCTAAATATCTAATTTTGATTTTAAATTTCAGATCCAACAATGATCATCAAACAGCCAGAATACAAAGTGATCCAGAGATATGGCCAGGTTTCTTTTGAATGTATAATAAAACATGACTCCACCTTATTACCAACGGTTATATGGTTGAAAGACAATGATGAGCTGCCAGATGATGAAAGGTAGGGACTAAATAGTTTTCCTTTATTTTTAGTTTTTTAGGTCCTTTTGTTTGCTCCTTTTCCTSGTCTTTGAAAGGAATGTTTTGACCTATTGACATTTTCCAAAGAAGACTGGTAAACTTCATGGTTATCCCATATTTGGTCACTAAAGGACCTACCTAGTATGATGAAAATATTAAGATAGAATTAAAAATATAATGTAAACATTTATACAAATTGTCCACACTGACCTTGTATGTTAAGTGTAAGGTAAAGATAATTGACTTAAGAAACCAAACAAATAAGAGAAGTCTATTTAGCTGTAGATCGCATATACTTAAAAGTTGTTTGAATATATTTGGAAAGAAAAACACGTTAGGGTAAACAGTTACAGTGGGAAGATGCTCAAAAGCAATGTAGAAAAAAGAAAATTTACATAGTCCCATAGCTTAACTTGGATAAATATAGCTGTTTAGTTATGTGCTGAAATACACAAGTATATGGGATTTGATAATGTTTTATTATCAAATAAAATATTTTATATTTTATCAAGCTTCTTATAASAGTGCCAGTTATTGAAAAATCAGTGGCTGAATCTATTGTATTTACAGGTTTCTAGTTGGTAAAGACAACTTGACCATTATGAATGTTACTGATAAAGATGATGGAACATACACTTGCATAGTTAATACTACTCTGGACAGTGTTTCAGCAAGTGCTGTGCTTACTGTTGTTGGTAAGAATACTCTCAAACTTTTACTGTTAAGTATGAAAACAGCATTAGATTTAAAGTGAAAAGTACAAACATAGTTTTGGTTTTAGGACAGGACAAAGAAAATGCCACCTCTGTGTAAATGTGTTTCAGTTTTTAAAAATGTAGTCTTGCCCTACAGTTTGCATTTGAATCAGCTATTTACAAAAGGGCTGAGTTGGTACGGATTCAATTTTGTGCTGTATAGTTTGTGCTTTTGACCACATCTGAGCTACTACAGTAAATTAAATTTTGCAGAGTATTTGAATATAAACATGCTAAAAGCATAGAATGGCTAGGGTAGGAAGGGACCTTAATGATCATCCCYCTGCCTTGGGCAGGGACACCTTTCACACAGCCTTTCTGGACAGCCTGTTCCAGTGCCTCACCATGCTCACAGTGAMAAATGTCTCACTGATATGTAGCATAAACCCACTCGACTTCAGCTATGGCCGTTCCCCCTTGTCCCATCACTSCACGCCCAGTGARGAGTYCCTCTCCCAGCTCTCTTGTAGCCCATTTACAAGCACTGGGAGGCTGCTCTAAGGTCTCCCCAGAGCATTCTCTTCTCCAGGCTGAATAACCCCAGCTCCCTCAGCCTGTTTTCATAGGAGMGGTGTTCCAGCCCTGTGATCAACATAGTGGCCGTCCTCTGGACTCATGCCAACAGGTCCATGTCTGCGTTGTATTGGGAGGATGTTATCTCAGAAAACTCTTTAACAACTAAATTATTCTTCAGAGGGACTGAGCATACTTGGTTGCATGACTTTTCAAGGATTATGTTTTTAATTTACTTCTCTGCTACGTATTTATGATTGCAGATTTTTGTCAAATATATTACTTTGCCCCTTCTCCGAAGTTTTTAAGTAGCTGTCCTGAATGATTCTTACCTGATTTGAAGCTGAGACTCAAAGTCCAGAATGTTTGTCTTTTAAAATTCTGTTGTGATCTTATGCCTATCTAGGAATGATGTAAGCCAAACAACTAGTACTTATTTAAAAGTTTTTATGTGATTACTTACTTTTTTTCTTGAGCTATCCTTGTTTAAAAAATGAATAAAATATTCAATAATACTTTTTAGCTTTTCAGTGAAAAAATACATTATATTTTTTTAAATTTACAATTTAATATAAATAAGTTAAGTTTTCTTTGTCTCTAATAACTATAGTCTTTAACTACCTACAGTATTCTGTTTCTTTGGCTACTAACTGATTAAATCCTTTATATTAATGTTCTTTTCAGCTGCTCCCCCAACACCAGCTATCATTTACGGTAAACTAATATGAAGTTCTCTTTCTACATCATCAGGCAGATATATTTCTCATTTGCCTATTGCCATTTTTTTGCCCATTTTTTTTCCCTTTTCCTCAGTGTGTGTCTGTCTGTGTCTGTTTGTGTGGTTTCATCCCATTTTACCAACTCCTTCATTACTGGAGTACTGGACTTTGGAATGATATAGTGTAGGCTGCTTTATATTTAGGGAATAAGTGATTTTCAGAGATAATTTAATTAAGGTTGGTTATCGTATGACAACATTTTTCTTAGAGTACACTTTGTAATAAAAATTGATTATATAATAAGTGAAATATCTAAAAGTTAAATCCAGCTGTTTGTTGAAAGGTAATTGACTATTAAAGACATTGCACCGATGTTTTGCACCAACAGGTTGCATGTTAACATTGGTTTKGCAGCTTTGTAAGCCTGGTGTATTTTATTTAATAGCTTATCTTCATTTTGCTCCACTCATAAGATGAATATGACCATTTTGACCAATTTGACTTAAAATTGATGAAATCAGCAAGATTTTAAAAATTAAAGTGGTAAATTAAAAAAAATCAGTCAGTCTCAAATAGTCTCAAATTTATAATCTCAAATTTAGTCTGAAATTTATAGTCTTAAATTTGATAGTATAGAGCCTTTAATTTGGTAGCATGTTTTCTRAATTTGGGGGTTCAAGTGCAACGTAATAAGCTAAAACACTTTTAAGTATAAGTTTAAGCACTTTTATGTAAATCTTATCAGTGAAAAAGATACAGTGAAAATGCTTATGAATTCTTACTCACTAGTCTTGATTTTTGTGTAACAAATCATTTAATGAATTCCCTTTGGGAATTTGGAATGGACAGTTACATCTTCATGCATTATAACAATGTATAATAACAGCTCGCATGATATTTCTGAATCATTTTAAAAGAAAGAAAATAACTTAGTAACCTGCAGTTTGTATCTGTTTGAAGAATACTTGTTTTGAATTCACATAAAATATTTGTAGTGGTTCTAGAAAAGCTTCTTTGATATGAATGTTTTTTTATTTTCCATGTTATATTAGATGTGTCTGTTACAATAGATAACCACCCATAATCATTCAAAGATAAGCAAAATATGCATTTCAAAATTCCTTGCATCTCATCACATTTTTATGTCACAGTGCACTCAGACKTAAGTTATTTATTAAAAATGAACACTGATTCTGGTTAATGTATAGAAGTTTCCAGGTTACATCAGTTGTCCATTTTTGTCTGTTCTGTGGCAATTGCATGCTAATGGTCATTAAGTCATGCTCACATAAGTGAATAGATCTGCCTTGCTGTATTTGTGGAATTCTTTTGATCAGAATGTGAGGATTTTTTTCAAATATGAAACTACATRTTCTGGTGTGGTTATTTACTTTGTGTTCATTTGATTTACAGCTCGGCCAAATCCACCCTTTGACTTGGAATTGACAGGCCAGCTAGAAAGAAGCATTGTGCTTTCCTGGTTACCAGGAGATGAAAACAACAGTCCCATTACAAGTATGTTTGCTTGTGTCTTCTTCACTACGCTGACAGCATTGTTTTAACTGTTCTCAAATTCCCAAGATTTATGGAATAAATTTTGTGTACAGCATGGAAAATGGTAAATTAATTATCTGCATTTGTCATTTTTTTACATTACATACCCTTAATGTCCTCTGCTGTAGAGCCAAGCAGGAAGACTTATTTACTGCCCAAAAGAGCTGGCCTTTTTTATTCAAAAATTAGTGCTAGATAATATAGAAGTTATATATACTGATAAGAGTATGTAGAGACCAGACTTGTTCGTTCATTTGTTTTATGCTTCTGAAGGAGAGAGCTACTAACATCTTGCAAGAACTTTTGTAATTGTATAAATTTGAARTAGCGTCAATACCACTATCGTCAGTGATTATCCATCCTTACTGGTACAGAAAGTAATTCTGCATGAAATTCTGGTTTTTTGTTTTGTTTTTTTTTCTAGTTCAGACATTTAAAAGAATAAACCATGTCCATAAAGTGAAAAAATTAAATAGATATAAGCTTTTGAGGTAGTAAATTGATCTTAAATGCTGTTATTCCTCCAAGGAGAACGTAATGAAAGACACTTGCAGAGAGTGTAGAGGGTGAATTTAGGAGCTGGGAACAAAGATATTAATGTTTTCCAAAAAATTATGGATCTGAAAGATTTGTTGGCATTACTTTTCCCCTATGAGCAATTTAATTACTTAATTGTTTATGCAGTGTGTTCTTAGATAATAACTGCCACAAGTTACCAAGACCAGTGGATGGACATGTTGTGTTTGGAATGAATTAGTTAGGATGACTTACTGGGTGTTGCTCTCTGATGCTGGTCAGTGCCAACACCGAAAACAAACCATCAGGACCAGGTATCTGGAAAAGAAGATTCGTGAAGAACAGAATTTCACAAGTTTCAGAGCACATCAAAGATTTTGACTGCATTTTAATGAAACACAAAGTGATTTTTCTGAAATGTTGCACTCTCAGACTTCTCTAATGTATATCAACTAGTAACATACTTAAAAATATAATCATAGAAAATTAATGTAAATAGTTGGATAGTATTATGATGTATTAATATACATATACTTTAATTAATATTTTCAATTTTTTTCCCACTGGAAGACACAAGTCCTTCTGTAGGGATGAGATCACACTATTTCAATACAGTTAATACTAGGCACTGTTGTCTTACGTAGATTTTTCTAGAACAAGAGATTGCATGCACTCTGATGCAGGAAACTGAACTCTTCTAACTAAATAATGCTGAGTTTAATTATAATGCAACTTATATTGCTGCATGGTCCTCCTAGAGCTGGCAAAATAAGGCATTTGCTTCCTAAGTAAGCCTATTTCTCTTGCTGTTGCTATCATTTCAAAGTGCAGATGAAGACTCAAGGATTCCACTTCATCAGGAGTGATCTGTTTGCACAATGGGATTGATAKGCTAGAATCTCTCTGAAAGCTCAGATAGGTTCTTTTCTTCCTTGAAGTTGCCTATAAATTACTCTGCTAGAGTTGCAGGCAGAAGGCTAGTGACCAGGGGAGCAAAAAACAACAGTGAAAACCTTTTTGGCATGTAGTATTTTCACCTTTTCAGCAAAGCTTTGGTCCAGAAGACATCCCACGCCCAGACCGGTATCGCTGAGCACACAACAGCAGCAGTAACTCAGACACTAATCTGGGCTCAATTCTTTCTCTTGCTACTTAAGTCAGAATGAAATCTGGCAGCCTTAAGTCCAGAAGGATGTGATTAGAACTACTTACCTATTTTATGTCTTGCTCCTTAAACTGTTGTGCATTTTTTTTCTGTGTGGTGCTGTAAGTATTCTTCTAAAAGAAATTTCAAGATGCCACTCAGAATTTCTTTAGTAGTGCAAACAGGATCTCTCTTGAGTCATATTCTGTCTCCTTGTCCCCACCTATAAMTGAGATAGAGCAAAATTCTTGTTACACAACACACAAATACTTGATGCTCAGGGCTCTATGGAATGTACTCTGTACATTCTTTCTCCAATTATTTACTGCATCCTAAAAATTCCTCTTAAGTCTTTCACAATTCATATCTCATATCTTACAGCAAGGTTTTTTGGCTGCTTCACATACGGAAAAAAAAGTCCTTTGGTCTTTGACAATGAATGTGATTTTCTTTTTGGAATTCTTCCAACCTGTTTATCCCTGAGGTTATATACTTTGTAGGGTCTTATCAGTAATCATCATAACATTCACACAGAGAACTCTCAAGAAATTTAGTTTCTGAACATACATTCCCTGACTTAATTTGAAGATAATGAAAAGTGCTTTCAAAAACCTTCCTCAAGTATAGGTTCTTGACTTTAAAGTTTTCCATTGTGCCAATTTCATTGGGGAAAATGGAATAGTCAGGGAGTTTTAAATTCATACAGGTATTGTATGCTGTCTGCTTGATACAACTAAGAACAATATATTAGGCAGTGAAATTTGAGTCAAAATTCCACTTCCTTGCTGTGATAGTTTGGGGTTTCCCATTAAATTGAAATCCAGTACCTGAGAGAGAGCTCCTGTAATAATGTATTACCTGAGAGATGGCTGCATTAGTGACAGTAGCAAATGTAAGTAAAAAGTAAGGGTTTATCTATTATATTTCTACTTATATTTCTACTTTGGATATCTGCATTCTAGATTTGTATTATGGTTTATGTATTTACATGTCAAGTTCCATGATTTTTAAAAGCACTGGTTGGTGGCAATCCCTTCTGTCTAGCTCATTCAGAAATGCCTACACTGGTGTGTGAAGCTGTTGTAAGTTTTGACATGAAGTTGGATCCAATTTCTGTTTGCAGACTTTATAATTGAATATGAAGATGCACTCCACGAGCCAGGAGTGTGGCATTACCAGACGGAAGTTCCTGGAACTCAGACAACAGTGCAGTTGAAGTTGTCTCCATATGTCAACTACTCGTTCCGTGTGATAGCTGTCAATAAGATTGGCAGAAGTCAGCCAAGTGAACCATCTGAGCAGTACCTGACAAAATCTGCAAGTAAATAATTAGTCCCACTTAGCAGTGATTGATTTTTGCTATGAATAGCATCGAATTTGCTTGGAATCACACAGCAGCCATTCTTGTTCATATGTAAATATTTTATTTTCAGGCCCTGATGAAAATCCTGCTAATGTACAAGGGATAGGCTCAGAACCTGATAATTTGGTAATAACATGGGAGGTAAGTTGGGTCTTTTTTCARGATTTCATTTGTTTTCAGGTCTGTGAGTAACATTTTTTTTGAGAAACATTGATAATACCCAATGCATTGCTTGCTTAAAATATTCTTAAAAAAGACCTAAATTCAGACATTTGCTCGTCTTCATTTTCATGAAAAAAGCTGAATGGTGGTTTTGTTTTTTTGTTTTTTTTTTTAAATGTGAAAATAATTAAGGGGGGGCATATTTTCCTGAGTGATTTTTCAAGCCAATAATTAAGCAATACTGTTGATTATGTTCTGCTGTCAGTTTAGGAAAACTTCAGTATGTAAATTAAGTTTTATTTCAAGTAGAGTCTAATTTTTAGAGTGAATTCTAATGTGAATTCTACTTCTACTGTCATCTTTTGTGATAAACTAATCATTGCACATTTTTCCACTAAAAAACTTCAATTGATGTTTTCTCTAACATGTTCTTACCATCATGACAGAAGTTCAAGGAGAGTTACGCAAAACCAATTTCCCCTCCCAGGCAAGAAATATTGCTTAGGCTTCTGTGTTGAAAAATACAGTGGTAAATTTTCAGTAACATTCTATAAAAGAATCAATGTATTTCTTTGTAAGTTCACATTTTCAGAGGCTTAATAATATTTAAAAGTATTTCTTTTCATTTCAGTCTTTAAAAGGTTTTCAGTCTAATGGACCAGGGCTTCAGTACAAAGTCAGCTGGCGCCAGAAAGATGTTGATGATGAATGGACATCTGTTATAGTTGCAAATGTATCTAAATATATTGTGTCTGGTACACCAACTTTTGTTCCATATGAAATAAAAGTGCAAGCTTTAAATGACTTGGGGTACGCACCAGAGCCATCAGAGGTGATTGGACATTCAGGGGAAGACTGTAAGTTTTGTAGTTTGACTCAATTATACTAATTAATATGAACTAAATGTGTAACCTAAACGGATATTTAAAATACTGAAATATTGACAAGGGGGATAGTAGTTATGTTTTTAATTGAAAGGAAGCAATTTGGAGATAATAAGGCTTCATAATACTCTGTAGTATTAATCCTGAAAATACAAGAACATTTTAACCAATTCCATTGAGTACAATGCAAAGACTCATTCTAAAAAAAACTATGTTTGTGTGGTTTTATAATTCTAACTAGGTGCTTGTTTAATCTTTTCCACACAGTGCCCATGGTTGCTCCAGGTAACGTGCAGGTTCATGTTATTAACAGCACATTAGCAAAGGTGCATTGGGACCCAGTTCCACTGAAAACTGTCCGAGGACACCTTCAGGGGTACAAAGTAAGTATGGTCAAAAGCATTCTCTTCCTTGTTTATTAAAGTAGATCACTATTCTTATATGAGATTGTATCCAGATTGAAGTAACTAAAATGTAAGAGGACTCTTGGTTTTCAGTGAGCTCCCAAGTTCTGCTGCCGAGGGCAAGAGCATTGATGCAATTCATACAGAGTTCAACAATGTTCCAGCCTTGTAGCCRTAGCTTCCTGTGATATTGTCCTTGAAGACATAAGGCATGAGTTTGCAATTAAGTTTGCACAGATTAAATGATAAAAAAASGGTAACATTTTACAGATCTTGTTCCAAAGTAATCAAAATATGTGAAGAACTGGTTTTTGTAGGAGTCTCTTCTAGGTCTAATGCTAARGTTACTCATCTTCTGCCTCAATATGATTAATCACATCATTCAGAATAACTGGCCACTTGCTAGCATAAAAGGGGTTCTGTGTCTTTTTGGAGGCAGGGAAAAAGCTCAGTGTAAAAGCTCAACTTAAGGACAGATGAAATGGCAGAAGATTTGAAGTGCCCATATGTTTGAAGGAAGCATTTTGTAAGGCAGTGTGCTGCCTTTGGTCGTAACTGAAAAGGCTGTGTTGGAGAAAGAAGACTGCAATTAATAGAGAAGGAGAGACAGAAGCATTTCAAGAGTAGAAACTGGTGTCCTTGGGGGATAGGGAAAAGTTGATTCAGTAAAGATATACTGACATCGTATGTAACAATAGAAGAAAATAAAAAATAATCCTTTCTTTGCTCCTCTGCAAGTATTCCTATAAGTATGTTCTGTGAAAACACACTGCTTAGACCAGATTAGGTTGCTTTGTAAGACAGATTAATTTGAACTACTTCTGTTCAAATGAAAGGAGGTAAAAGTATTTGAAAAATTAAAACAGTAAAGAGTATTTGAAGGAGAATGAATGTACACCATACATATAGAATTGAGCATTCAAAAACATTGAGCTTCAGTGCTCTACAGCTGTTTACCATATGAATGTGAGYTCCTGCTATGTGGATATCTAGGCAAGGCCTGATAAATCCTAAGACCTGCTGGATAGCTATAATTATATTATATTATAGCCATGATTATAGTATTATTATAATGCTTCCAATACAAACTGAAAACTGTGAATGCATGCGGAGCATGTTTAAGTGTCTTCATCACTGCCATAACCTACAAAGCACATGACTAGCTCTTTGTAAGCACAGCAGCAAAATCTTACTAGCACACTCAGCCTTTGCTAATTAATAAAATTATTTCRGTCAGTAGCCCAATATACAGTGTTGCCATCTGTTGGGGACAGATTTCTTAGTAAAGATTGGGGTACTTCTAGGAAGAGTCATGTCTTGAAGGCAAATGTCTGAACAAAGCAAGAAGACATGTAACTAGGCAGCAGTCTACAGCACATTATTCATATTTTGCTTTTGTATTAATCTAGCTATTACACTATATACTATGGTACTATAAAGCTTTTCAAACCTAAGAAACAATAAAAAAATGTGATGCACTCTTGTTTATTATAGCATTTTAGTTTCAGTACCAATAGTACCAACACTTCAAGGTTTCGTTAGCTTATAAATGGCTTTCTACACTAGTTGGTAGGATGAGAGCTGTAGTATGACAGCTGATGATACTGAAAAACATTAACTCAAATGGTGTAAAACATAYGGGCATTTAAAAGTGATTAGAGTGAAATAGTATGTTGAAAGGTGGTGTTAGTGTAACATTGCTTTATAGCTATCTAGCTAAGCTTTGCAACTCTTAGCAGCTCCTTTTTTTTTTTTAAATTCCTTTGTGAAATCCCAGATTCTTTGATTGAAGAGATGTTTTGCAGTTGGCCTTAATAGAACCAGATTTTTATTCATTTACATTTCTTAATAATCTTTAGCTTGTRATCACAAGTGCATGAAAATGATGCTGTGAAAAAGAAACAATTATGCATTTGAAGGTGGCAATCCTAGGAATAACACAAGTCTTTGGAGGGGCAACTATTAATATCGTTGGAGTTATCATGGGAGAGAGACTGTGTAGTGAAGAGAGTGCAGTCAGCATACCTCTGAGGCTCACACGTAGTTTCTCAGAAACTCAGTCAGCTCAATGAACATCAGAATCAGCTTTCTGCCTGATCAAATTGKCACATAATTGGAGGAACAGTCATCCTATGCCTGGGTGGAGATCATTCCAAACCTCTAACCTTAGTAATTTCAGGACTTGTCTGTTTTTCCAGCCCTGTCAAATCTTTGGGTTTCTTCCCCATTTAAAGGTATGTACTTGTCTCTCAAGTCAAGGAATAGCATGGCCAGGGATGTGACCTAATAAGGAGGCRAAGTCCAAATGTGCTTTGGAAGGCCTGTAGACATCTTGCTGAAAGAATGGATAACATCTGCCTCTGAGATAGACTGGATAACAGGAGAATGATCACATACCAATGCAGTTCCAAACCAGAATTTGCACTGAACTGGCTTTGAGCATTAGCAGAACTGGCAGGTGGCTGTCTGCACCCAGTTGTGTTTCTGGACAAAGTCTGTTTCTAGAGCAGGAAAGCGTTACACTGTGTCTCACCTGAGCTTATGAAAATCGCTGTTAGTCCTACCTATTCATGTACACTCATGGAAAAGCTTAGAGTTTATAAAATCAGAACAGCTAAGCACTCACTGTAGATTTTTTTTTTTGTGTGTGTTTAGGTTTACTACTGGAAAGTGCAGAGTCTATTCAGAAGGAGTAGACGACACRTAGAAAAAAAGATCTTGACTTTCAGGGGAAACAAGACTTTTGGAATGTTACCAGGGCTGGAGCCCTTTAGTTCTTACAAGCTGAATGTTAGAGTTGTTAATGGTAAAGGAGAAGGACCAGCAAGCCCAGACAAAGCATTTAAGACCCCTGAAGGAGGTATGAAATGAAAAACCTATATATTAAATGTGGTTTGCTTAGACTTCATAAAATAATAATCTGTCAATACAGGTACATTCTTTTGAATTAATAATTCATGACCTGTTTTAAGTTAATCTACTTTCTGTTTACTCTGTGTTGTTTTTAAAAGTTCCTAGCTCACCCTCCTTTCTGAAGATTACTAATCCAACATTGGACTCTCTGACTCTGGAGTGGGGCTCACCTACCCATCCAAATGGTGTTTTGACATCATATACACTGAAGTTTCAGCCAAGTAAGATAAATATGAATATATTTTGGGGGTTGGGTTTTTKATCTTTAAGGCCCTTTCCAACCCAAACCATTCTATGATTCTGTGATATAACTCAGGCAATATATCTACCAAATAGTAATCCATTTATGAAGAAAAAATTATGTTTCATTTGTAATGTACAAAGTACATGATTGCATTGTAGATGTCGAGTTTGAAAAAGACTAATGTATTTTGATAATATAGATAACTTATCTGGAAAATTTCYCTTGTTCATGTAGAAGGTTAACATTTTTTCCATTACTTTTATTTCTTGAAACTGTACTTCACAGAAAAATGGAGGTGAAGTCCTACAWATAAGTGGCATCTAAATTAAACACAAATGCTACTCACAAATTCTATATTCTAACTGCAGAGAAAATATTATTAGAAATAAATCAAAATATATCCAATTATATTGTTGGCTGCTTTTCTGATTTTCATGGTATTATAATCCTAAAAATAAAAATTCATAAATGTTCCATTTACTCATATCAGAGCTTTAAATCACTTGTTTAGGATCCGGCTGCTTACTTAGCCCAGACATTTGTAAKCAGTGACACTGGAAATGTAAAAGTTTCACATGCATGGAACAAATAAAGGAAGGCATTTTCTTGCACTTACCAAATTCTGCTATTCTTTGGCATTAGACACAGGTAGTTTCAGTATTTTCTTTTCCTAAGCATACTGAACTTAGAGTTTCAGAAGTTTTCAGTGATCAGTGCTTGAAATCTGTGTAAGTTCAGATGATTTGATGTGAACTCATTTGCCTTGGATTATTACAAGATATTTATTACAATGGAACTTGACCTTAAAAAACTTGCTGGTGTTTCCTATCTCCCAGTTGGATTTTGCACAAAGGTGATTTTCTTTTGAAAGTGTAGATGCAGCAGACAAGCAAAACAAATGCATACAAACGAAAAAAAAAGCCTTTTTTAACACAATGACAATGTACTAAATTTTCCTATTTTTTTTGTTTTTCTTTTTTTTGTAACAACAGTCAACAACACACACGAATTGGGTCCCTTGGTAGAGATAAGAATTCCTGCCAACGAGAGCAGCTTGATACTAAAAAATTTAAATTACAGCACACGGTACAAGTTTTACTTTAATGCACAAACTTCAGTTGGATCAGGAAGTCAGATAACTGAGGAAGCAGTAACAATTATGGATGAAGGTAAGATGGGTATGTATAAGGAAAATCCATTGAGTTTAAAAACCACTACAGATTGTGTTAAGCATCTATATCTAAATATTGCTATTGCTTCCTTCCACTAAGGAAAGAGGGCCTAGTGATTTTTTTCTAGCGATTTCTTAACTGTATTATACATTATGAAAACATTTTCAATGATTTTAAAGAAAATACATGCAAARGTTTTCTACTGAAGTGGGAGCCCGAAAAGAGGTGTAAAGCTTGTTCTTTTAATATCAACTCACAAGCTCTAAGACAGTTATTGGCCTTTCTGGGCTTCAAGTTTCACGTAACTTTACATTTTTAATGGTCTTTGTCTGTTCACTTATTCTGCATCATTGACTAGCTTTGCTCACAGAGAAAAATACTGGGATGATGCAGGCTTATTATTAGAGGAAGTTATTTCTTTTTTGAAGTATGCAATAGCTTCTGTGAAATTGAAATTTCTTTCACAGAACTGGCAAAAACTGTAAATCTGTTGAAATAAATTTGTCATCTATGGCCCCAAGTTACTGGTAACTTTGTATAGTATTAAAAAAAGGATATTGTTACATCCTATTGTTACTTTTAATTTTTATGTTTATAGCCATTCTAGAGCTTTGTTAAAGTTGTTTTTAATTAAATATGGATGTTCAATAAAATAAGAATAATTTAAAGCCAACAGGAAATTTGGAACTTTTTTWATCATTTTGATCATCTTAATATTAAGTATTTTGGTACTATCTTTTCAAATATTTTTATGCTCAATAAAATTATGGTTTATTTGAATTGCCATCGATGAGTTGGTATTCAGTGTGATTTCTCTGTGAGAGTATTAAGATTAAATATGAACTGCATCTATTTTAAATCTTGAATCCTACAGAGCATGAGCAATAAAATTTTGTAAATGCATGTACATTAATTTTTGTCTTGTAGTAGTCTGTCAGTGTTTGGCATAARTCTCTTGTTTCTAATTTATTTGAACTAATACATTTTATCTAGTCTGCATGCTTTTTATAATGAAATTATATATGTATGTTTCCTTTGGTGTTGTATCTAATTATATAGTGTTCCTATTCTTGTTTTCCTCCATTAAAGCTGGTATTCTCCGTCCTGCTGTAGGTGCAGGCAAAGGTAAAATGAAACTGCATGATTTCTTAATGTGTGGATTTTGCAGTGTTGCAAATGGGGAAATTGCAGTGGTAAGGAGAGAAAATCTTGGACTACACATTTTTGTACAGTGCTGGAAGAAAACAGTTGTGGGTTATTTGTGTTTGTTKTGTTTTGTTTTTTTTTTTAAGGAATCTAGAATGCTTATTAATACCTTTCATCTGTTTATTTTGCCACATAGTTCCAGGGGAATTCATTAGCTTTGCTTCAGCAAAGTCTAATTATTTCTGAACATTTAACATATGTATGTCACTGTCATAAATATTCAGGATCCAGGTGCACTAGCACTGATTAGCTGGAGTAGAAAAACCAGCACTTTTGCAAAGGAGATTCTTTTACTGCTTCTGCCATGTTCATTTTTTATTTTAAAAAGTATCTGCATTCATGTTCTTGCTGCAGATTAATGCTGCCCATTTGATCACATTTACTTCATTTGCAATCCAACTGTGCATAGGAGACAGATGACTGACAGTACCCTCTGTCTACCTCTTAGTTTGAGTATCAAACTGAGTATCAAATAGGATTGAATATACAGGCAAATGTTTTCCCACTGGTTTAGGTTCACACATTTTGTGAGTGAATACTTGAGGATATTTCAGTGAGTAGAAGCTAGTATCATCCTTATTTGTGAATTCAGTGATATTTAGTTCTTTATGATGCAGTTTTGCACACAGTTTTAATGAATTTTGATACCCTCATTGTCAGAAGCAAAGGCTGTCCTGAGGACTGTTAGATAGCTCAAACTCAGAAATATGTCTATACAGAGGTGTCATTTAATCACAGAGGTGTCATTAACACTAATGAACACCTGTGCTTCAGACTATCAGACCATAAACATCACAAATCAAAATCTGTACATGAACTACCCAACATTTTTTTATAAACTCGGAAGAGACAGCATAAATTGTTTTACATATAATTTCTCTTCCTTTGATTATTACATGTAATTTCTCTTCACTTGATAACAGCCATAAGAAAGAAATCAATTCACTCAGTCTGGTATAAATCAGACAATATAAAAATATATGTTTGCCTGTATTAGGGCATATATAGTATATATTTATATAAATATATAAAAGTGTACTCTAATATCAGATGTATTGTTGATAAGTGTGAATTTGTGGAATTATTTTAATGACAGGTCTTGCTTACAATTTTAGTCTAGTCGTAGCTAAGATGTCAGCACAGATTGGAACAATCAAAAAGGCTTCAGTCCTGGACATGCACAGCAGAAATGTAAATTAAGTTCTCATTATTTATAGCTGACTCTAAAAGCTCATGCAAGGAAAAATGGGTTCTCTGTGTGAAACTGAGGTCTCTAATTATAGCTGTATCACAGTCTGTGGCTATCAAAAAGCATCTTATTTGTAAGATCAGCTGGAGCAGCTCACATTTCAGAGCTGTCATCTCAGACTGAAAACTAAGCAGATGTCTTTGTTTGGTTCCATGTTGTTTATAGTTTCAAAGTTTTCACGTATTCCTGCAGCTTCTAGCTCTTACAATTGCAAAGAAAACTTTGGACCTGCAAACAGGAGGGAATTAAAGCCATGACATCTGTTAGGACATCTGAGTTGCTGCAGGACTGAGATGAATGTTCTCAGTGGTTACTTAAATTACCCTGTTAACTGCTTCGCTACTGCTGAGGGACCACGAGTAAGGAAAAGGAGGATCATAGTATCAAGTGCCAAATTAGCTGGTTCTCCTGAATGGATGGATTTGGAAGATAGAAGTGCTCAGCCCACTCAAAGAGAAGCTGTACCCAGCAGTGAACTTTCCTTCCTCTATTAAATGCAGGAGGGCCTATATGTCTATACAATTCTTATTAGTTTGGACCCAAAGCCAGAAAAAATTTAGATATTCCCAACCTTTTTGTGGTCTATCAAAAACATATCAGGTTTTTAATTCTGAAGAGCAGAACTTACCAGGAAAATGTAATTATCCTCTTTCTTTCAGTTTGAACACACTGGTCCTGGAAGTTAAGCAGACAGTAGGTCCCAGATTCAGCCAGCCTAAACTGCAGAACTGAAATTTCTGCATTTGGTGTTTTCTTCTGCATAACTGCCCCTGAAGACCTGCAGCTTGGCCACTCACAAACATTAGACACAAGATCCTGGAGGAATTCAAATAATTTAAACCTTAGTGAGCTGTGCCACGTGKGACATATATTTCACTTCTCAGAGTAAAACTAAAGTGCAGAGGGATATATTGCTGTGGTAAATCTAAGGGTCTTAATAGACTCAGTACTTCTACTGTCGTGAGCCTACATGAGTAAATCCTGAGAAATGTTATTTACTAGATGAAAAAGCTATCCTGTTAGAGTTGGTACTCCTATTTGACTTGCACTATCGTTTKTCCTTTCTAATACTATGATGTAATGAATTACAATTGATCAAATTATGGTATTACAAAGAAAAAAGAATTTTTTTTCTTAGCAATCTGTATTCTAAATGTATYTGAAAACTTCATATGTTAAACGTATACAAATATAATACATATAATTCGTATGTATTATACCTAATGTTAGATAGTCAATATGCACTGGTATTGCCATTTATAGATTGGCATCTAACCACGGGCATGAGGTAATAGAGGTGGGAGAAAAATGGGGGAATAATACAATTTCATATAAGACAATGATAGTAGCACCTGGAAAGTGACTCAGGTGATCRCAGGAGTAAAATCTTTTCCGTCCTTTTCCATTAGAAGTTTTAAATAACTGCCCTGTAGAGGAAGGAAGAGAATTCCAGTTTGACCAGTGGTAGAAATGAAAGTGGTTGGTTAAAATAAGGAGTCACATAAGTGCATGTTTTTTTGTAAGCTGWAGTGTAGGGAGTCATGGCATGGCATGTCAGCCTCATTTCACAAGCCTTCTCCTTTCACTTTTGAGTTTCTTTTTGATTTTGTAAATGCTTATATTTGAAAGCAAGGTCTTGTAATCTTGTAATCATTTCTTGCATGCACTGGTAACTGGTAACCTTGAAATGCAATTAAAATAAGTTTGTGAGATCACAGTAATGTTTAAYTGTACCTAGTGTCTCCCGTCACTGGTACTCAATCTGGTCTGTCTTGTTCATGTGAAGTTCACATCTCAAGTACTGCTGACAAATAGTAATGCCTTCTGTTACAAGGGAGAAAAAAACCCTTGGGGTTTGAAACTATTCTTTTGGGGTTTTTGGCTGAATTACCAATATGCAACTCTTCACTGTAGGCTAGAAATCAGTCTCAACTGAGTTGATATTTCTGATCTCTTTGTAGAAGATCATCTGAGTTTTCTTTGTTCTGTACAAAATGCTGTTCTTTAAATCATTTTCTCTGCCCACCATCTTCTTTCCCTCCCTCTTGAATTATTTCACATAATGTCTCCATATTGTTTGCTAACGATTTCAAGCTGCTTTTTCAGTCAAGTTAAGTGTAGTATTTTTGTATTGCTCCTTCAGTCATTCTCCCCCTGTGGACTTCTCCATTTTGTATCTGTGTGATCCTTTCAGTACAGCCTGCTATGCAGAACCACTGTTTTGTTCTTTTTTAAGTTCACCGGGAACAATGCTGATGCTTTACATGCTASACTGGAGAAAGTGATTATTATCACTGCCCAGAAATTCCTCAAATACCTTTTGCTTTGTAGGTATCATGTACAATCCATGCCACACTCAATGCTTATCAATGACTTGATTGTTTGCATTTCTTCTTTGAGTTCTGTATTTCTTACACTACAGAAATGCTCTTGCAATTGGCCTTAATAATCCCAGAAGTGACTAATGACCATTTCTCTCTACCAGAAATGGAATTCACTCCTACTGTTACACTAAAGCTTGAATTTCATACTGTGAATGTTAAAAGGGCAAAGAAAAATAAATCCCTTTTCTGTATCTGTCAGGCTCTGCCAGAATCTATTACCTCTTTCCTTCATTTTTTTTCTTGTTCAGCTGTGGGTTTTTTTCTTTAAATTGAGTTTTCTCTTCATTATACATTTTAACTAATTGGCCATGATATATTGTTTTGCATGGGATTTTTTCCACTTGACAYTAGTCTTCAAATTTGTGCTTATCACTCACCCAGCATTTTTTTCCTGAATATCAGATGAATTCCATGAAAATTCCTGAACTTTAGTCACTTTGGGTATTATTTATTGTTCTTCTGGACTAAATCTTGAGAAAGAGTACCTGTTTCGTTGTTAAAATACCTTCCGATCYCATGTCCTATCTTATTAAATTCTGTTGATTCTGCAGCCCAGGTATAACTTATTTGTACGAATTGCGTTCCTGAAAGGCTGAAAAATTAAATAAAATTCCACCAAAAAACTCCAGTAAAAAAGCACTGGACTTAACTTGAAAAGAAAAGAACATTTTACTTTGAGCCTAGGCCTCTTTCTCAATAGTTGGCAAATGCTTTTACATGATACTACAGGAATGAAACCATACTCAGAAGTGCCAGCTAAATTTTGCATTGTATTGAGGCAGGAATAAAAAAGCTTAATTTGCCAGAGGTAACCCAAAGAGTGGGTCTGTATAAAACTTGAAATTTATAACAGTCCATTCCAATGGTTTCCCAACTGGTGCTTGCACAGGCTGGGAGCTTTCCAGCTGACAAATACACATTTTCCACTTGTGAACAGTACTGGGAAACCTACTGAAGAACTGAGAGGTGATTGAGAAGACAAGAGTCTGGGTAGATTGAAGAGAAGCTTTAAATGTAAACAATTCACCTCCAGTCTTTCATTACCAGGATCCATCAGCTGTCTTTTACCTTCTTCTGTGTGTAATCATGTTGCAAATATGGCGCATTTAACAGGCTTAAGTAAAACTTTGCAGGCCTGATGGCAAATGGGATCAAGCAGTAGTGCAAAAGAGGAGAACTGCAAAAATAGTAATTTTGTAAAGAAATGTGCGACTGAACAAATTTCCTGGTGCATTGTATTCAGTGGTAAAAAAACCCAGAATTTAAATCTGACCAAATACTACATGTGGGTAAATCTGTACAAACAGCTATTGGCAAAAATCACCTATGAGTACTTCTGATAAATATAAGCAAAAATCAGTCACTTGAGAGGATTTAGAAACTAAGGAAGGAAATTAAGGTGGCTTTCAGAATCAACTTGTTTGTTACATGCAATCATATGAACAGAAAGACTTCTACCAGATAGTTTAACCTAGCAGGCAACTCTTTAATGAGAGCAGCAACTGGAAATTGGAGATGAAAAAATACCCACAAGAGAAGATTCAGTGATTATTGAATTTACTTAGTGTTGCAGAAACTCTTTATCATCTGTAGACTTTCACAGAAGATGAGAGAGTTTCCTTCATCCCCAAGTGCTCAGGCATGAGCAGGGAGAAGTTAGGGGTAATGCTGTGGCATCTGTTTTTAGGAGTACAAAACAGATTATTGCTAACAGTTTTTCTGTCTTTAACATTGTGCTGCTAATTAGACATCATCTGAGGAATAAAAAATCCAGGAAAATATGGCTTTGAGAARTACAATTTAATGAAACAAAACGCAGTCATATTTCAAGTAAAAACTGCTTGTTTTCTTGGCACAGCAAAAATGCTGAGATGGTGATTGAAGAAAACACCTGTTCCTATGTGCAAATCAGGAAGGAAGTTTATACATCCTGTCTGCAATCTCAGACTCCCKCACCCTCCTAAATTTAGACTGCTATTCTTTTCTCTTGCTGTCTCCAAGTGGCACAGAGGAACAGAATCTAATCCCCTTGCATTACCACAGTGTATATGGTTACATGGTAGATTTCCCATAGACTGTTCTGGATTTGGCATTTCTTAGGGTGTGGTTGTTTGTTTTTTTTTTTTTTTTAAATCTAGTGTTTTCTATGGTATTTTGTTCAGGTGGTTTCAACCAAGAAATAAACCTATTCTTTATTACTTAAATAATATATTCCTTATTATTTTGGTTGAAAGAAATGACATATAAGCACAGTTTAGCTACAAAGGCATTGGACGGGGGAGTAATATAGATTGAATTGTTGAATGAGTACTACTGGAATAGAGTCAAGAAGAAAAAATTGCTGCAAATATGGGATAAAATTTTATTTTGTAAAATATTGTAATAAGCAGAATATATACTCAGGACAACTGATAGAATTTGCATAATTTAGGTATTAAAAAAAATACTCAGAGACCATAGTGCTAGACATGGTGCTCATAAGTGTATGTATATTTCTCTTTGTATATAACTTGGAACTTTTTCCAGTTGGCCATATGGACAAAGCCAGCCTGTTAGAAGAAGAAAATAATTTAAGTGGATMGATAAATTCTGTGCAGCCCCTCTTGCCTTGATAACAGGCTTTAACTTATTTTATTTTCTTGTGTAGATGAAGCCACTGGAATTCTGTCATATGTCTTTACTGAGACTAGGTTTTTACCTCTGATGTTTCATGGTCCTGTGGGAAGCATTTTTAATGTTTCTAATAGAAAATATCTRTTTAGCAGGATAGAAAAGTCAGTGGCCAAGTGAGGCGTTTTCAGTTAAAACTAATTTAATGCCTTTGTGGAGCATCTTCTTTGTATCTGCACTATTACAAATACATGTGTTTTCAAATACATGTGTATCAGTTAGCTGTTTCATATTTAAACCAGTAAAACTGATTGATTCCTGCATGATCCTAGAATGTGCATGTGTTATTTATTTAACAGGTAAGGTTTTRCTGTATTATTTAATCTCTACTTTCTGATGCAAAGTGTTTTACTCTTTATTTTTTCTTTCCTACTATCTCTGATGGTGAAGGATATTCAGAAATCCTTTTTGCAACCTCCCCAGTCATGCACACTGTCCGTCCAACATTCTATAAGGGTATTGTCTTCCTTTTTTATCATTATCAATGCAATAGAGCCCAAATCCTATAAGAGCTTGCAGTTGGGGCATTTGCAGTCCATTCAGTGCCACATGCCATAAAGGGAAGAGTGTGCCACCTTCATGCTTCCTTTTGTCCTGCCATTTCCCATTGCCCTGACAATGTTCTCACTTTCCAGCTGTCTGCATCTTACTTCCAGATGAATAGAAATAATGTTTTTCAGAATTTTGGCAGTTAGGTACTTTTTAAGTATTTGGCAGTTTTTGTGGTACAGAGCATGCTCAGTAGAGTACMTAGATTTTATACTGCCTGGGATTCAATTTCAAAATACAGTACTTTAGTCACTAATTTCCAGTAATGGAACCAATGACAAATGTGCTACACTTTGCCTCTATATGGTCKAAATTAACATAGTAACTTCTTTTAATTTTTTTTTTTTTAATGTATGAAGTCACAACTGCATATTCTGCTTTGTTTTTCTATTGTGCATTTAGTTCAACCACTTTATCCAAGGATCAGAAATGTAACCACAGCTGCTGCTGAGACCTATGCCAATATCAGTTGGGAGTATGAGGGACCAGATCATGCGAACTTTTATGTTGAATATGGTGTAGCAGGCAGTAAGAAGTCATTTCATTAAATTCTGCTAAAGTGTCCAGATGTATTTTTGAAGATTTTTATACTAAATGAGGTCTTAAATTGACCTAGTGTTAATAATAGCTCGTAAATGTCTCAAATTATTTTTTAATTTGATCGAGAAGATAAAATATTAATCATTTTAATACAAGTCAATGTTTAGCAGGTATATGATGCATAGATAGAATATGAACCTTTGTTCCTTTGTATTATTTTATAAATTCTTTTGAACATGAACATCCAAMAATGTAGTTTAACTGAAGTTGTACACCTTGAAGTGATTGAATGTGTAAAAACATGATTACTTGCATTAAAGTAGGATATGAGTTTTCCTAAATTGCGCCCAATTCAGAAAAAAAAAATTAAATWATGTATTCTTTGTTAAATTAAACCTTAAAATAAGATAGAAATCAATTTMTATACTCTTATTGCCTAAAACAAGGTTTAAATCTTTGATAATACCCATAATAATGGACAGGAAGTTAGCTAATAAAAGCAAGATACTTCTTTTAAAATGTCCCATCCTTCTAAAGKTATCAATAAAGTTCCAATCTGAAAATTGGACTAGAAATGCATTTTTCTGGATATTGGTCAAAGAAATAGCTGAGACTGTCCTAGAAAAAAGATATGAGAGAGATTCATATTTTGAAGTAGAAGCTCTTGACCAAAGTAAACATTGACTGAAACTGCAAGCGTCATTTTATTAAATGAYTAAAATCTATTTTAATGTGCTCTGTAATTAAGTTCAATAAGCATTTAAAAATAAATTAAATTTGTATTTCTTTAGTACAATGGAACAAATGTTTAAAATAGTTTCATAATTACTCTACAACGTCTTCTTCAATATATTGCATGCAATTTATTAGTCATAATTTTATATAATTTTAATGTTTTGAGAGAAGTTATTTTTATCAGATGATCCATAGTTTAGTAAAATAACTGACAGTATTATTCTGTTTAGAAATTTTCAGTAATACAGAAAAAATTAAAATTCCAATATGTTGTTTTCCTAAAATTTTGTAGGCAAAGAAGATTGGAAAAAAGAAATTGTAAATGGTTCTCGAAGCTTCTTTGTCTTAAAGGGTTTAACACCAGGAACAGCATATAAAGTCCGGGTTGGTGCTGAGGGCCTGTCTGGTTTTAGGAGTTCAGAGGATGTGTTTGAGACAGGTCCAGGTGAGGCACGCTGTACCAATTCTGTATCGTAGTCAGAATCGTGGTAGACCAAGTGCTGAAATACTGAACTGCTTCTAGCCCAGAAATGTTGCAGCTAGAATCTTTGCATGTTCCTTTTATAGAGCAATGTTAAAATATTWTATTAACTCCTAAATAATGCCAGTACATTTGTATGTAGATTGTGAATGTTTCCATCCTTTCAAATCACTCTACTTGACTGATGTTTGTACTAGGGGCAAGATATGCCCTACTCATGCTCCATCTGTGTGCTGTGCACTGAAGATGACCTATTTCTTATATTTCCAATTAATATAATTAGACGGCTGTATTTAAATAACATTTCTTTTTATAGAGCTAAAATATTTGCATAATCAGAAAGTGCAGATTCAATTTGATGTCTCATGTAATCTATTTATACCAATGTTAAGAGATTCCTGCTTATAAATCTTTCCTGCCATATAYTGGTTTTATATGGATTTTGATGTCACACATATATCCTGGGAATCTGTAAGGCTGTTTAAGTTCCTTATGTTGATAGTGAGTCTTATTTTTTTGTGAGCAAATCAGCAATGCCTGCCAATTTCACTCAGAGAAATGGTTGTATTGGAAGTTTTTCTGATGTCATGCTGAATATATTGTTGCCATCACATGCCACGCCATCAGCGTGTTCTTGGTCAGCTGTTACTATTTTTATTTTAGCCACTTCTGCTCATTCCAAGCATTTTGCTCAGTGCATAGTTATATACCAAGTAACCCCACCAAGWCCAGAAAGTTATTTTGTAAGAAAATAATTTAAACATGAAAATACTCTTGAACATTAGGTAAAAATTATCAGGCAACAAAGCAGATAATGGGTATGCCAGTTTGAAAGTGAGCACCTTCTAAAATCATCTCTTTTTTTGCTTTGTTTTGTTCCATTTCTGTTCACAGTTTATCATGTTGCAGGAGAGCTTTGAAAACATGATGCTGAATAACAGTGCCAGGCAAATGTGAATGGGTAAACACAGAGCCAGAAACAGCTACTGGTACAAACCTCTAAAGTTTTATGCAAATGCACATCCAAAGCCTAAAGGAGCAGTAAATAAGGATCAAGACCATAATATAATTCAAAATGAGCTGAATGGAAACCATCCCAAAACCACCTACCTGCATAAAATATACTGAGCCAGTAGATAAGAATCCCTGTACTACCCCAGTTATGTTGACTCATGCCCTTGGGTAGCTAGGGAGGAAGGGACTTTAAAGACACTCCTTTCTACTTCTTGATAATGGAGAGTTTCAATGTCCAGTATGAAATTATAAACATAGCCTATTTCTTACAGAAAAATCTTGTGTCATACTATCTTCAGCCCAGGTCAAAGCTTTTAAACATTACAAAAAGATGGAGTGGACAAAGAGGAAAACACAAAGAGGAATATGTCCTTAATTAGGAATGAAATTGTGATGTTTCATATATGAGGCTTTTGCCTCATATGAAACATTTTTTTTTTTGACAAGCATTCCTATATAGAGTATCTTCACAGTGTGTGGGTTTATCCTTTTGGGCATTGCTAGTAGTGTTATGCATTGGCTCATGCATTAGTGGTTCACCAAGACATGAGGTTTTCTGCCTGAAGCAAATAATTTGCATAGCATAGGCAGAAATGTGCCATTTTTTTAAAGATGCACAGATACCTAGAAACCCTTTCCTACAGGAAATGCAGTAGTTTAATACAGAAAGCTGCATAAGTAAGTTTTCATCTTTACTCTTTCCCATCTATCTTGCATATTTCTATGCATCAGTTTGGCTTGATGCTATTTCTTACTACATTTGAGTGTGAATTGTGCTTTTGCATTTTGTCACGGTACATATTATATAACATTTAATGCCTTATGTGAATGCAGATGTGCAAAACACAAAATGTTTTAACCTTAATGTCAAAACAAAGTTTTCTTTTATTTTGATTTGTAGTTCAGAGGAAGATTGCCTTTGTGATTTTTTCTTAATTGCCACTTTTTAATATTTCTATATCTATTTCTATATAGAATATGTGGCATAAGAAGTATAAATGTATAAGTATATAAATTACATATTTATAACATGTAGAGAATTTTATGCGAAGTAGTTTAAATTATTGTGCATATAAGAGTCAGTTTCTAAAATATCAGAAAACATAAACAAGGTCTGAGAAATCTCCACAGTAACCAGACACATTAACTCATTGAATTATTTAAATCAAAATCAAKTAATAACTGTGCCCAATAAGACCAAAAAGAGGCATTTAAAGAAAGAGTTAATTTTAGCCTAGCACTTCTAAAGTTGGATACACATCTTCTGTATGGAATGGACTGGAGATACTGTATCCAGATATCAGAAGTACTTTGCATTTTCATAGAATCTCTCAGGAATGTGGGAGCATTGACAGCTGCTTTTTCAAGTTACCTGTCTCAGACTCCTTCTTAACTAGAAAATAACATTGAGACATGGGCTTGAATCCTGTCTATTGGGCAGCTCTTCATGGACTTTCATACTCTTGAGGTTTGGGCCTGGAGAAGAAGCTGAAAATGAGAAAGATAGCTTTGGATGGATGATCATCTTCCTCCACATTTTCTTCTGTCTGGAGCATGCAACCCTAACGCCTCTCACCCTTCCCACTGTCTCCCAACAGCAAATCCTAAGCCTAGTTGCCTGTAGTGCGTTTCCAAACAGTGGAGTAGAAAATGAGCTTCACCAGTATAATGCACTCTCTTCCAGCTAGTCAGCATTTGGAGAGAAACAGTGCCAAGGAAAGGCTTYGTGATTGCACCGTGCAAAGCCCTAACTAAGGCTAAATCATGGCAATCATGATAAATTGTAGGATGAGCTATGGGTTGGAGGAGAGAAAGAAAACATGATGCTTAATATTGTTTTAAAGGATGCCTCATTGAATTTAGTTGAAATTTTATGTTAGGGCCCTTCAATGACCTATCTATTTCCCCATTTCAGACTGATGGTAATGCATTAGCTAATGAGTATTGGCTTTTTATTCATTTTGAGAATGCAATTGACACGTTTGTGTGAATTATAATTTACAATTTCATTTCAGTAGTTTAATTAATGCAAAGTGGTTGAGAATAGTTCTGAGGTTTGTGGAAAGCAATGTAGTATGTGTGTAGATTTTGCAAAGTAATTGCTAAGCTCAAAGGTTAACCGACTTCTTATGTACTGAAAATTAAGTTCTATGCATATGTACTTGAAAACCTTTTGAATAATGAAAATGTTCACAAAATACAGTATGACTGTTTTTCTTAATACTATCTTTTTTTTTTTTTACAGTGAATGCTATTCTTTAATGAACAGTGTATTGGCTAYTATTTATTTGAATTAGTGTAGTATTTAAATGCAATAAAACATAATTTTTCTCCCTTTATCTCTAGCAATGGCAAGCCGGCAGGTAGACATCGCTACTCAAGGATGGTTCATTGGCCTCATGTGTGCTGTTGCTCTTCTGATCTTGATTTTACTGATTGTTTGCTTCATAAGGAGGAATAAGGGTGGCAAGTATCCAGGTATGCTATTTAACAAGGATAGTAAAATTTGTCTATTCGTAGCCCATTAAGACAGATGTCAGCTTTACTGGAAAATCACATTTTCTGCTGGTTGACATTTACACTGTGTACATGGCAAATCAATTTTATCCTTTGGTCTAGGAGTGGCCAAGTATGTGTTACAWTTTTTCATTAAAAATTGGAACTACACAAAGTAGTTTTTCTATCAAAACTTGCATTCCTGCTGATGTACATATTACAAAAGGCATGTGTGTGTATGTAAGTATATATGTGGGCATATATATATCATATATATCTTTCCTTGGTCTTCTATTTCTTTTTCTGTAATAGCTCCGTAGACCAAAGCTCTCTTAAAAAAGACAGTGAGAACCAGTACTGCAAATACGGTCTCAGACCAGCTACTGAGGTGTGAGTGGCTATGAACAAACTTCAAGTGAGCATCAAAGGATAATCTGATTTTTTATTCTCATATTCTGAGACTATTGCTAAGWCTCATGTAAAATTTTCATTTCATAAAAAAAACTATTTTCTCTATTACAGACTCCAAGGTTTTGGAAATTACAAAATATCCAGACTCTAGAATGCTTATTTAAATTCAACTCAAACTTCTTGAAGTTCATACTTTTAGCTTGGGCATGGAAAAGATGGATGCACTTAGAAAAAAAAGATGCATAGAAGAAAAATCTATACTTAGTTTTTTTGATCAGTACATTTCTGAAAACTATTGTCAGAAAGCACTAAGAACTTTACCTCTTCATAAGGGAAATCTGCTGGAATAGCAGAGCGGATTATTTTAATGAGAAAATCACTTTATTAAGTATAGGAATCCTACTCTGCCCAATCTAAGTGTTAGATTGTTTTATAGAGACAGCGAAGATTTGTGGTGACAGCAAAAATTAGGTAAGAGAAATTTCTGTTCCAGCTGCTTATGTCCTTGAAGAAAACACAGATAATTAAGGACCACAGTGTTACACAGAGTTATATTGTCAGGCTGAAGACATCATCTTAGGGGTTTGTTTCTAATATTTGGATGTTTTAAAGAGAAAATGAGATAACAGAGGATATAGAAAAAGTGGCTCAGGAGACTGAAACAAGTGAAGTGATGAAACTGAAAAAGAGTAAAGAGGACTGGGAATGAACCACCATCTAGAAGAGGGTAAAACAGAGTTTTTGAGTAAAAGTGTAGAGGGAAGATGGATGCTAAGGTTGTCATTACTTTGTGCATCCCTCCTCCCTGATATTCTGTCCTTTTCTCTGCTCCTGCTGAATTATTAGTATATGTTATGTTTATTAGTTAGTATATGTTTTTTTATGCACATATACATATGCAAATACCCACACACATATAAAGGTAGACCTGGGCTGTTTATTAGATTTCCAGAATCAGTTTGTACTGGAGTTATGGCAGGGACTTTGTATTTCTTGTGTCATTGCAAATGTACTGTTCCATAGGTAGTGACAAATTGAAAGCACGAAGTTATTTACAAAAGCTATGAAAATTTAAGTTATGAACTCTTTTCCATCATAATTTTTGCATATCATTTGAGGTTRCCTGTGGTTTGTAGAAAGTAATCAATTACTTCATTATGAAATTATAGCAGCCTGATATATCTCAAGGTGTTGCAGGTTACTGCAATTATGGGCTTAGTAAATACTGTCAGGAATGATTTATATCCTCTTAAATAACAGCATATAAATTAATGATGTACAAATTAACTGTGGAAAGTACAAGAGTAAAAGACAAGAGATTGTGTATTGGATTATATAAGTGTATCTGCTAAACAAAGGAAAAATTTGAATAGATGCCAGAAAAACAGAAATGAAAAGGCAAAGGGAAGAACCACAAAGATAATTCTTAAAGTCACTGTATTATTTAACCCTGTGAACAATCTTAAATTACAGGAATATATGTCATCTGTAAAATATCGGACCCCTCAAGTGCTAGCTGGTTTTTGTGTCAATGTGCTACATTTATTATTTTATAGGGATAAGTTGTATTCCCACCAGTGAATAAGGATTAAAACTGAAACCATAATGTACATGAGATACAAATGTGCTAAATTAAGGTTCCAGTGTATGTGACTTTGCATTGGGTTTGATCATGTTGCAGAAAAGAAAAAATTAACAAACCATACCTACTTTTTTCCAATATTAATAATTCTCACAATACTATCTAAAATCTCTAGAGTCTCTTTACATGAAAGAAAATGTACAATTTGTGAACAAAAGTACATCTGATTCAGTTTTATCAATCAGTATGAGAAGAATATGAAGAAGAAATAGAGAGCATGGTTAAGTAGAACTAAATTATTTAAATTTGATTAAACAATAGCTCTATTAATGATATAAATAACTAAGTTATTCAGTAGGTCTATTAATAATATAAATAACCAAGYTATTTTAGTAGGATTTTTAACAAATTTTTCTCTTTAGTGCTAGAAATAAAAGAAAGGAAAGTGTTCTACTAATACAAAATGACATGCAGTCTTTCATACTTGAATGAAAATAAAATTCTATAACTAATTAACAGATCCTTCTTTCAAAAGAAAAAATGTGATAGCCTAAGGTCCCATTTTTAAAAATTGCTTATATTCAAACCACGTTCCTCCCAAATGTGATCAGTTTGAGAAATAAAGGTGTTAGACTTTCTCATCTTGCAGTTTCATGATAAAAATTGCTATTTCAAATATTTTAGTGAAGGAAAAGGAGGATGCACATGCTGATCCTGAAATACAACCTATGAAGGAAGACGATGGAACATTTGGTGAATACAGGTGAGCAGCTGATGTGGTTTRTCATGTTCCCTGTTCATGTCACACATGTGCTGTATGTAGTATCACACTTACTAATTCAAAACTAACTATTTTTTTTTCTGTGTCAAAGATTCTGTATCCAATGTTATATAGAACTAAAAATAGCATTCCAACCGCACCATTAGAAAAAAAAAAATATCCAAGCTTAGTATAAGCCATTTGCTATTGCAGGGTGAAATCCAGATTCAAACGTGATTGCATGTGTTTGAAAGCCAAAGTATGGAATCTTTATTTGCAAAGCYATCTTTCAGATAGTTCAAATGCCAGATACAGTGTCCTTTCATTTAGGGCACTATATTGAGCATTATGGTTTTTGAAAATAAATTTMTAACTGAAGCCTAATAAAGACAATCCGGTGTTGACAGGAAAAAAATGCATTGAAAACGGCTTCCAATACTAACATCTAATCCAGTAACAAAAAAAGTGACGTTATACACAGAGGTGAAGGAATCTCCTACAAGAAAGCAAATCTCCCTTTCATGTATTTCAGTACAAGATATATAGCAAGCAGCTTCAAAGCATGAAAACAGCTCTTATTCCTGACTGTCTTTCTTTGTAGTAAATGCAGTTTAGCCAAATCTCTTGGCATTACCAAAAGCATGCCTTGGCAAGTCTATTCATACCACAACTATGAATATAGCTTATTAAATAAGCAGTTTATTTGGTTTTGATTAGTACAAAAAATAATGGTATTTTCTAAATAGGTCAATACCATTGTATTTTACATGAGTGTTAGAACAGATTTTATAGTGCATTCCTGTTTCAAAAGCATTGTAGAAGTCCTTTATTATTTTGAAGRTTTGACATTTACAAATGTACATGGAAAAAGCAGGTTTTTTCAAGAAGGATCTGCTTTGTTGCCATAGTTTCTTCATAGAAGGGAATTGTCTTGATCTGACAGTGTACAGTTATGAATGCTAAAGAGCAGTTTCTGTTTATTCTTCCTTGATTAAAAAACAATATGCTCTGTTCTGAGGTTAATGAGTTCAAAATAGTATTTTATTACAGCTCTAAGCACATATGAATTAACTAAATTCATAAATAAAAAGGGAAGTGTGATGCAACCTTTGGAAACAGACTTTTAAAAGTACTGTATAAATTTTCCTGGGAAGTCAGATTTTATTGCTCCACTGGTTTTTGATACTTGGAACTTTCAGCAGCAGAAACTGTCCTTTGTGCAGAATTGTGCAAATGATATGACCTCAATACATGTATTCTCAGACCAGGAATAAGTATTTAAGTCTGCTTTCATGTGTGACCTGTAGCAAGATTTGAATTTATGTCTCCATATTTAAGTGGCTTGAGTTAATCTAAAGAGTGATCTAGAGTTTTATGTCTGGTGAATAAGGGTARATACATGCCAAGCTTTCAGACTTGTTCACATGAAAGAGTTCGTACTATGTACCCTGAAAAAACTCCTTTCTAAAATGTATTTCTGTGTAATTAGTATATATTGGGCTTTCCTCTTTTTTCCTTAGAGACAGGGCAGCAGCAGCAACCAGTCAGATTACAGAAGATACCTTGCCTCCCTCTCTGCAGCCCAGCATCACTGCAGTCACTCAGTTCCCAGTTTGTCTGCCTCACATGATGTGGTGCTTCTTTGAGGAAAAAGGGTATAGGGTTTCCCTTGAAAAAAAATGTAATTTTTGAAAGATCTAGGAATTCGAGTATTTTGAACTTTTTTCATCACTTCAGGTCCATGTCTACTTGGACAGGAAAGAAACTGGACAAGGAAAAGAAAAGAAAAGGTAGCTGTGCCAATTCTCCTGAAGCAGACCCTGTCTTTACCAAATCAAAATCTGTGAGATCTGACAGATCCAACTTCTTCAGAAGGTCAGGGGATCCATACTCCAGCACCAGATCAGAAGCCTCCTACACCAGGAGGAGGGCTAGGCAGTCTTCAGAGCTTACAAGGGTTAGTTCTGTCTCTGCTTCCCTCTGCCAAGAGGAAAAGAGATCAGACGAATGGAAGTACAGGCATGGCTCTAGACATCATGCTTCTGAGCAACAGATAATGGGGTCGGAGGAGGGCTCAGATTCTCAGGCAGGACAGCCATCCCCTTTCCAGCAACCCCTCAGCTGCAACTCAGTTGGTGGCTCACTGGCAAGGCAGCATCATTCTCTCCAGCACTGGTGCAGCCAGACCCCAGACTGCAGCTCAGATTCAGAAGACACTCAGAGCTTCTGCCACAGGAAGGTAAGACCTTCTACTGCCACTAACTTCTCTGAATCTGAAAAGAGTTCACTAATGAAATCCGTAATCTTGCCTGAGCTGGCTAATGTCCTAAAGGATGCTTTGACAGCAGCCAGACAAAGCATAATGTCTGTGGCACAGGCTAGGTCCCATTCAGTGAAGCACCCCAGGGTACCAATTGCAGAAGTTACAGTGCTTCCTTTAGAAGCATCCGGGAGCAGTTCCCAGACTTTTGAGTCTGATCATATGGACAGCTTAAAAGATCAAACAGCTTCTGGGGAGGAGAAACCTGAGGCTGACAAGGCCTTGGAGGTTGAATCAACCCTTGAAGATGGGGAGTCAGCATCTGAGTTCCCTACAGAAGATCAAGAAGGACCAGATCCTTTGCGTAAATTTGACATGAAGAATCAGAATTACCTGTTCAAACACATAAAGAGGGTGCTAATGCTAAAGTCTTCAGAATCTGAATGTGCTTCAGAAGAACTGCTTATCCCCTCTGAAGAAGGCAAGGTAGATAATGCACTTCCTATCCATTCAGCTGTGGAAGATCTTGTCTGCAGGATTTGGGGTAATCCTGAGGCCAAGCATGAAGCCCCCGCAGTCCTTCGTAAGCTCTATCCTTTTCCAGTGGATAAAGCTGCTTTGTGGGGGASCTTGCCTGAGGTAGACAGAGCATTGTTTGCTGGTGATTCTGCACTGTCAGTGCCTGATAATACGGATGCTCTCCCTAAAGATCCTACTGACAGAAAGGTTGAGGAGGCAATTAAAAGATCTTTCAAGCTAGTTGCAGCCCAGCTTGGAATATCTATCTACTGCAGTTATGCTTCTAAAGCATTACTAATATGGTTGGAGGAAGAACGAGCCAGATTCAAAAAGAAATGGGTCCCATCTGGTGCCATGCAGAGGAAAGGCAGGCTGTGTAAAATTGCAGCTAATTTTATCCATGATGCAGCTGAGGATTCTCTCAAACTCACTGTTAAAAATGTGGCATGCCTCACTGTAGCCTGGAGAGCTCTGTGGTTGCGTCCGTGGAGCTCATTGCTAGATCTGAAATGTAAACTGCTGTCTTTACCATACACAGGGGGCAAGCTATTCGGGGAATCCTTGGTCCAGATCATGAAGGATTTCTCAGAACACAAACACTCCTTACACCAGACGAAAAAAAAGAGCTATGTTGGAAGCTCTTCCTGTTCTCCTCGCAAATGTCTGAGCTCCTTGCGTTCTCCTCCGAAGTTCAAAGGAGGGAAGGGAACGTATAAGGTCTCACAATCATTTCATGCCAAGTACGAAAAGACATCTCACTTTCAGAGAGATACCAGACCATCAAGAGGAACTTTCTGAGAACACAGATTTGTTTCCTAGTTTTTCAGGAACTGAGAAGAGTGAAAGACTTGGAAATGCTTCAATATTTCTGGACAAATAAACCCAGTGCTTAGAAAATTAGCTGTTTCAAAATAAGATTTAAATTATCAAGTTACTTAAATCTTAATGACTAATTAAGATATTCTAGAGAAACCATAGCTCTTAATTTTAGGGGAGGATTTTCTCACATTTCTTTTCTAGGCTTCCCAGTGGTCTTGGGATTAATTTGAAGTTTTGCACTCCTCAACTTCAGCTAGGAATACATCCTGCAGAAAAGTTGGCTGGTCTGTGGGACCAGGCAACATCAGATTTTTCTGTCATATTGATCAGTGAAGGAAATAATGCTTTAGGAAATGCAGGTGTTTCAGGAACGATGGAATGATTGTGTCCACTATGTTCCTGTGACTGGATGGATTCCTTCACTTTCACATAACAAGGGAAAACAGTGCCTCTGTCGCAATCTGTACTGCATTCTTGGTGGTTTTCTGAGATGCAGAAGACTGAGATAGTAGATTGTGGAAAGTCATTATCTACACCAAGAACCTGCAAGGAACAGAATAAGTATCACAAATGTATGTTCAGGTCAGAGTAGGTGTATAAATCAGTCTAAATTTTCCTCCCAGTCCCTAAACTGAGAGAAATTAAGAAGTTATGACAGCTGCAGACTCTTGAGTTTATGAGAAGGAAGACTGGAAGGAAGCAAATACAAGGGAAAGATGAAAGTCCAGCAGTCTGGAGAATGTTAGGAAGATAAAACAGGACAAAGCAACTACAAGCAATAGGTTTGATAGTGTGGWAACACAGGATATTATCATTTTGTTGAATTATTTTACCTCTTTTCAAYATTTTGATCAGTATTTTTTGTAGAAATTCTTCGATATGCTGTGAGAGACTTTGTGGTGGAGAGTTCTGGGATTGCTAGATAATACTCTTCCTTCTTATTCTGGGTTGATTAACAATGAATAKAATTTGTAACTACAACATAGTTTTTTTTCTCTTGTAGTTACTTAGGTGTGTTTGCACAGGGACCTAGCCATGATTAGTGTCTCAGCACTGTAATTCTAAACTTGGTCACTTCCAACACAAGAGGTGTTATCTCAATGAACTGCCAGAAGAACTGAATAGTCCAGTTGGATTTGGCAGTGATCCTACTGTATTTTAATTTACACACATGTACTTCCTTTGACARTTATTGTTTTAATTCTTGAATACTTGTGTGATTAAAAACTTTTTCAACGCATTGCTATTTAAAGTCAGAACTTAATCATCCAGTTTTTCCAGCTTCAGCCAGGATCGAATATTGAGTATTACAAAGATGTTAAAGAAAAATTACTCAGAAGATAATATAGGTGTGCTTAAGTGTTAGCTAAATAAGAAATAATATAATGGTTTGAAGTCTGGATTGATACAAGTGCGTAAGTTTGTAGGGAAAGTATTTGACACCTGCACAGTCCTAATAACTTAGGAGTGTGAGCAGAAACCTGTTACGAATAGGGACAGAGATTCTGCTGGAGTGTGCAGGGAAGCCATAGCAGAGGGTACTTCCGTGGCTTTTCCTGATTGCTTTTACTTAAAATTTCTGGGCTAGTGACCGAGTCAAAGGAATCTACTGCCAACAGTTTTCAACTTCTGCACCCACTTTGTGTGTCTCATAGCTCAGAATGCTTTATCTACTTTGTCTTATGTTGCCTTTCATCTGACAGTTGTGTTACAAGGAAAAGTAGTACATTGCTAACCATGTATTGAGTCTTTTTGCATGTCCATGAATGTGGCAAAGTTTAGTTGGGAACTAGTTGCCTGCTGGACTGCAGAGGCATCGTAAAAGTGTCTTCCCCATTCTGACTGGTTGCTGCATGTACCCAATATCTAAGGAAGAAAAATTGAAAAGTTGAAAGAAGAAAGGAGATTTCAAGGTACAGATTTCTTTCAATAACTGATAAGCTTGTGAAATGGAATTACTTTTTTAAGCAAATAAATTTGTACTTTGCACTTATGTTATTGTTACCTTCATACTTCTTACATTTCTTCATAACTAGCTTCAAGTTTTATATGTGTTTCAATAGACTAAGAAGAAAAAGAAACATATTCATATTATAGCAATCAATAATACTTAAATAATGCTTTTAGAGTATGCTTTCATTTTAAAAATTCTTCTTACTGAAAGGGCAGAAAATATATATGGTACATATCAATATTTATCCAAATGATTGGTACATATGAGTCTCAATTGAGAAATTTTCATCCTTAAAAAGATATTAGTATGGAATTTATTTATACAGCAAAAAATAGTAAAAGTATGACTACACTTAACTTCCACAGCTGTAAATAAAGAATTCATGCCCATTCTYACCTCATGGTTGGTTCCCTTCCAATATTGTTTTCTGGCTATTAATTATATGCACTGCATAAACTGCACTTTTCAAAAACTTCTTCCATTTCCCACTATAATTTTAGTCAACCCAATTTGCACCTTATTTTTTGTATCACAGTGTTACACTAGGTAAGTATTAAAGTCAGCAAGCAAAACCACAAACAGAAACTTGAAGAAACTATAATTTTTTCCTGATTGCATTTTGGAATAGTTCTATGAACAATTGTAAGCAAGCTTGCAAATCTTGGGGTACAGTATCAAAATTTATGGCTTTAACATATTTTTACAATATAGTATTACATATTCTGCAGCCCAAAGTGTTCTATAACTCTTTGGGCACCCATATTCATAATGCAATTCAGCAGCTTTTGCAGTTTTCATCTTGACAACAAACAGATAATACATTCATTTSCCCAGAGCTCCAGAGCCCTTTCTTTGTTTTGAACCCCCAGGATGGCAAAAGTGCTGTCCAAAATACTGTGTTTGCTTTTTTCTCCTACTCCTGTTTGTTTTTTACCTCCTTCTTCCTCAATTTCTTCCTCTTCCACCCAAAACATTGTGTTCATCTTACAGAAGAGTCATAATCCAGTTTGATAAAGAATAAATGATACCATGGCATATATTTTCTTTTTTTGAACCAGGAGTGGAAAGCAAAGTRGATAATCCCACTTGTTTTTCCACTGCCAGAGTCCTGGCAGAATCTCTCTCTAGACTTCTATAGTGCAACAGGTGAAGGAATCTCTGGGTTCAGATTTCATTTTTGCGTCTGCTGTGACTGTGCTCTCACGCCAGTGCCCACCTCTGTGCAGATAACTCCTGGTTAAATTTGCAGTTTTTGGTTGGTTTTAATTATAGAGGTATTAGACTACACATCCTGACTAAAATATAGAAAAATCATACACACAATGCAACCATCTCTGTAATTATTCCTTCATTTTTGTCTTATACATAAACTTTGTTTGCAAATATATAAATAAGAAAACCATAAGAGCAATACAAATCGGAAGTTCCCATAGTCAGATTTWTCAAAATTGTAAAGGAAAATCATTATTTTTACTGTATTAAACACAAAAATATTGATATTTTTAATACAGTAATGGTGTMTTATTTATATATTTATGTTCCAGTCTAGTGAATTACAGTGGCTAGGGTCATAATTTAGAATATTTGCACAGAGATTCATGACCAATTGGAATATGATGCAATGCAATTTGAATTTATTTTAATTTCTGCGTATTATGGTGTAAGAAGTTATCTAGCTMTTCACCTAAAATTAAACAGCAAACCATATGCCAATGTTCCTTCCCTACCAGTGTTACCCAGAAAGCAGGTCTTCCCTGGGGGAAGGACTGGCTACGATTTCAAAGGGAGGGCCTGGTCTTAACTTGTACAGTCTGTTTTGATGACTCTTAATACCTTCTGATGGGGGCATTGGAGAAATGACATTGTGTATGAGTATTAAATACTGAATTCTGTCTTCAAACTTTTAAATAGAGGTCCCTTCCAAAAGGAACTCTCTTCAGTAATGTCTCTATAATCTGCTAGTGTTCACAGTGTTATAAACATTTTCACTTTGCTGCTGAATTATTGAAATTTTGTCGTACAGTCTTTTAATGTTACTGTATGTTTGCAATATCAGTGAGCACAGATCAATGACAGACATTTATCCGCGTGCCTTGTACACAGCAATAACTAAAATGTCAAGCCTCATACAGTCACATTTTGAGCTTTTKCTTTTGTGTGCTTTGAGCATGAAGATTTTCTTGCATGTAAATAAGAGTAAAATAATGTAAATAAGAGTAAATAATCCTACCACTTTTTTTTTTTCTGGTGTATATGCAAAATGATGAAATCTCTTGTATGCTTTTCCTTTAAGTATATGCACGTTAGAGTTGTCCTCCTTTTAGAATGTGATAACTTAGTGTCTTCCAAAACAAAACAAGAAAAAAAAAAGTGATGAGATGAAGAGAAACAGCTTGATGGAAAATGAGTGTAATGGTTTTCTAGCAATAGTTTCTCAACAGGGCTTTTGTTGGCTAACCATATGATCTGTGTGGCCTTATACAACCTCTACATGCGGTTTCTCTGGGTGTTCAAAGGTATTAATTAGGGAAAAAAATGCATTATTTGAAGAGCTAAGATACTTGGTTTTAGGAATTAGAGGGTTAAATTAATWTGCTGAGTATATATATTCAGCCTAGTATTCTGGAAATTGTAAAATGTAATTTGGTTTCTTAGATATTTTATACTGTTTCTTCATATTTTCCATAAGCTGTTAATTGAAATAAAAACACCAAACCACTTCCTGTTTTTGTACCCTATATGCAAATAAAGTCACATGTTCTGTTTAAGACAAGGTAAATAATTGCACCCGAAAGTACAGCTGGCAATAGTGTGTATTAATTCAAAATGCTTTGGAGCTGCTGCTGAAATCTTCATCTTGAAACTGAAGTGCAGTGTAAAGGATTCTGAAAAGAGCCCAACTACATCTATTGCATGAAATACAAGTCTACCACAGCTGCAAATTTGTTTGAGGATGCTGATGGTGCTGCAGCTTTTCTATTGACAAGGGAAAAACCACAATATGTTGCTACAGAGATCTGTCCTACCAGCCTWTCTTTCCTTTTTCTGTTGTCCTCCAAATCACCATCATCATTGTCAGAACATTGTCAGTCATGGAGCAGGGTAGGGAGATGGATCTGATAAATTGAAAATAATAAGCATGCACTCAGCTTCTCAGTTCTAGCTATTGTAAGCTAAATTGTTGCTTTACCTGTAATACAGTAAATATTGTAGCAATTTTAAGAGCAACTTATTGATAAAATACTGATCACTATCAGGATRTGGACTTTGCTTTTCTTCTTAGGCTATTTTCATTTGTTTCTTCTGCACCCTTTTAATGGAATATGTAGGTCTCTTGAAAGGTAAGGTTTAAAATTGCAAGTCTGCCCTGCATTATGTAACAAATTATTTGAAATGCAGCACTTTTATTTTCTTTATACTAGTAAAGAAAATCAGTATATTTCATTTAACCAAATTCATTCTTCATTCATGTTCAAGAAGTCAAAAGAAATTAAGATGTTTAACGGACTAACTTCACGGTACATCCTAAGCTTGTTATTTTGGAGAACAAACAAATTATTTTTTTATAACTTTACAACCCACTTCTTAATGCTTGCAGTTGCATCTAAATGGTTTCCAAGCCAGGGACCCAGGTCTTAYCATTGAAAAGTCATGCACGATGGGGAAAAAAGAAAAATAGAAATCACAACTCCCCCTCCCTCCACTGAAGACATTCTCCGTTTAAACCATTCTTAAACCATGTTTTCATGTGAACTGCATCATATTGATTTGTGTCTACAATGTGATGTGGGTTTACTAAAGGATTATAGGGCTGCACACATGCTTTCATAAACTCTGCATGCATGGCTGATTTTGTCTTAATAAATAATACATCAGTTAATTCCATATTTGTTTGTTTGTGTCTCCAGTGATGCAGAGGACCATAAACCTCTAAAAAAAGGAAGCCGGACACCTTCAGACAGAACTGTGAAAAAAGAAGACAGTGATGATAGTTTAGTTGACTATGGAGAAGGTGTAAATGGTCAGTTCAATGAGGATGGCTCCTTTATTGGACAATATAGTGGTAAAAAAGAGAAAGAACCTGCAGAAGGAAATGAAAGCTCTGAGGCTCCTTCTCCTGTAAATGCCATGAATTCATTTGTGTAACCACAGAACTCGATTCCCTCRTGTCTTCAGTTTGTTTAAAGCACTTGTATATCCTCCTCCTCATACTATGAACACACAAGTAACGGAGCTCCTCACCACCAGATGTTAATGTTATGAGAAAATGCAGGTCAATACCATTACACARCATAATGACACAGTAAGTGGTATGTTAGTATGAATCAAAATAGAAAATTCAAATTTTGGTCAAAACCTGGGTCTTTTTACTTTTTTTTAAAAGGAACTGACACAAATAATAACATCAACTTGTAATTTTGTTTCCTGTTGAAAATACAGTATAATGCATGGAAAGAAAACCCTACACAATTCACAGATAATTATGTGTACACTATAAAAACATGGTTTGACAATTTGTTATGCAGTCCTCAGCTGAATCCCTGGATATGAATTCCGTTCTCATTGTCGGAGTGTTTTAGTAGTATTACATAGAACTTCAATGTCTTTGTGGACATTGTTGTGAAATTGGTGACTTAATGTCTAGCTATCATATGTCTTTTTGCAAGACAGTTAGGAACAGTATGTACAGTACATAATTGCTAAATGATTTAAGTATGACACTTGCATTTGCTGATGCTTAATGAGACCCTATTATCTGCTCTTTGCTCCTATTACTTTATAGCCTTTTTAATCTATCAAGTATTACAGCAGTACAGTGTCCTATTTTTACATCAAAACACATTGAATTGATTTTAGGGCATAAAAGATACGCATTGCAATGCATTTTGGAATTTGTACAGTCACTGAAAGAAAAACTTTCACGATGAGAGAAAATACTTCAGAAAACACAGGGCAAAGTACATTCAGTGCCTTTATACAACATGCATTCCGTAATGCACTGTACTACTAAATCAGTTGGTGCAGTAAACTGTGATTAGCAGACTACTGTCATTGCCAAATAAAGGAAAAATGTGAAGAAAAAGAAGGCTATGAAACTGTTGTGCTAAAAATGGAAACTTTGAAATATTTTAAATTACATAAAGATGAGTATGATTTTTTCCCTTTAAAAAGAAAATAAATGCTTTCTACACAGTTACAGCACAACATGTTTTCATGGCCTTAGAATACTTAAGAATGAAAACAAACAAAAACCCCAAAACAGAACCAGAGTTAAATTATTTACTAACACAGCAAGGTATAAGCTCTTGTAAAATAAATCATTAAAAACMAAACCAGCTGACTCCCTTGGCGAGAGCACATTTCCCTCTGTGTCCCAGCCTGATCAGTGTGGCTGCTTTGTAATTATCTCCAGCCTGAAGCAGTGTGGGGGTTACCGCTCAGAACCACAGCATTCAATCTGACAAGTGCTAATACGGTTTATTGGTAAAGGATTACTCTTATCAGTTAAAAAATTACTTTCTTGCATACTATATCAATCAAATGTTTACCTCCAAATATAAATTTTTATAACAACCTATGGTTGAAGGAATGCTCAGTTTCATTTGCCAATAAATTGGTTTTTCATAACTTGCATCAAGTTTAATTTTAAGTAAGCTTTTTATATGTAGATATTTTGTTGAATTTGTAAATACACTTAAAGCGTAGGTGCTATATGCTTCTAGGTGTTACATACAAATAAACCAAGAAAGCTTATGTTGTACTGTGTAAGAAGTACTATAGCCAATGGTGTGCATGGTATTTTAAAGCATCTACTTTTTTTTTCTTCTTTTTGCTGTGAAAACAAAATAGTGAGAACTGTTCTGCTCATTTACTGCAGATTCCAACTGAATCATTCAGAGCTTTTGCCAGTGCACTACATTAGCCCATAGGACACCTTGCAGCTTTCATGTATATATTGTAGGTAAAGCACAACTGAAGTAATCCCAAATGTAAGCCAGCTGTAATAAGCTTCTTTCGCACCTTTGAGCTTTCCGTTGATCAGTTTTCTTAACAGGAACCAAAATAYGAAGTGAATTATACGAACGTTGATTTCAAAGCACAAAGAGAACATTTCTTAAAATGATTTGCCAATGGTTTTGGTAAAAAAAGAAATATCATTTTACTCTTATTAAAGTGTAGATGCTGAATTATCTGTGCATGTGGGGGTAAACATACAGGCTCACTTCTGTAATGGTGCAACAGATTTTGTATTAAAAATAAATGTGGTTTTAAAATTTCACTGTTTGTTCTGTTTACGCTAGCAGTAAAAATCACATTGGACTCATCCTGTAATCAAGAATTCAAAGTGGAAAAACAGCATGACACAACTCTGGCAGAAGTTGTTTCCATGTTACAAAACTTCTATTACTGCCACCAAATTATTTACAGAAAGTTGCAGTTCTTCACATGCTACCATTTGAAAAAATGTAAATTTCCCATTGAAATCCACTATCTGCATTTTACTTCCATGGATGTTTTTATTATTTATTTAGTCATATTACTGAAAATAAAAACTGAAACAGTCATGTTCCATACCTGCAAGAATGAGTAAGAGAAAGTAAGAATGTTGATTTGAAATTAAGAGCCCTCAGGATCCCAAATGAGGATTTTGGGTCCTAAAGGAATTGTCTGACATACAAATTTATGGGATCTGTTTTTAAATAGTACATGAAGTGAGGAATTTTTAGATATCTTCTACAGTACACAAAATCCATTGCAATGCTCTTTTCATATCTTGTCTATTCTGTGTATGAATGGAAACAGACTGGGCAGGAGGGCAGTTGTTCTGCCTAGAAGACTGCAGGAGAGCCACCGATTCCAAGAGATGCAGGTRCTTCAGGAGATGCATCCAAAAGTTGGTGTTTGGGCATGATGCTGAAAAGAGGGATCTTATCACTGAATYAGAAGCCATTCTGTCAGCCTGTCCATGTGTCATTGGAGACTCCTGGATACTTCAGCACCTGTCATCCGCACAGTCTCAGTTCTGGCACTTCTATCTTCAAATATCTTCACATTACCCTCAGATATTGGCTGCCTTGGTTTTTGTACAGGATTTGTACAGGTCTGTTGATTTTTGCAGCAATGTAAATTGTCTGGATATATGAAATACAGCTGTTTCTGTTTCAATTAAAGAATATTTCCTGAAAAATGGGTCTGAGTTCCCTAGGCTTAATTGGGAAGAAAGATTTCGTACAGTAACAATTTTTGGACCTCACACACGTTATTTGTGCATGTTCCCCAAAGTGTACTAATACATATAGTTGCTACATTTTCCTTCTAGTAATATACCTTTGCTTTTGGTTTTATTCTCACTGAAGTGATTGTATAAATCCTGAGGGAATTAAAGAGGATACCCCAATGGTAATTTTTCTTGTAATCTATTCTCATATTGTTCCTAGGAAAATGCAATTTCCTCATGGTTGCAYGTAGCAGAGGCAAAGTGGCAAAAGATTTGGGAATCAAAATCTCTTTTCATGATCTGGCCTGTTTTAAAACAGAAACCATAGGAATTATACATGAAGAAGTWTTATCTGCAATATGGAAGTGTTTTCTTCTCTGAAAAAAGAATTGGGAAAAAATCAGCATGAAGATGAGATTCCAGTAATTTCTGAAAAGCAATTGTCTATTCCTGTGTTTCCTGTCCCACTCCCTCTGTTTTCCCCCTCATCTACCTTAGGAAAGAACATTTCAGAGAGATGGCAGAAGCAGCAACTGGTTTTGTGGAAAGATGGAAATAACTGAATGTGTTACTTGTAGGAATCTACCGCCACCGCCAAATGATGCCCCTAGGATGAAAATAAATCCAACTGGCCATCATGTTTTAATCTCTGAAGGGATCTCTGGCTGCTCTTTGTACAGAAGAAGTGGAAACTTTAGATCAAACTGTCAAGATAAATATATGTCAGCAGAACTATGACAGACAGTAGATATGATCTGTTGTGACTGTAAGCAAGGAGAAAAATGGTGATCCCTGTGTTCTCATGAATTTTGGCAGCAAAAATATACACAAAGTTCCTTACTGTGCCCATTGTGGTAAAAAATGTGATCATGTTCAATACCAAAAGAATGGATTCTTCATTTGGGGCTGGAGAAGTTTGCCCTATTGTAAATTTGGCAGCACTGGCTTTGTGTCTCTGGGAAAACTGTGCAGGAAAAATTTGAAGCCAGCTGGCAAGTCATGGCTTTGCATATGTTTATACTGGAGAGAGGCAGGGCAGGACAGTTCCTGTCACAAGCACCCAGCCAACCTTTTGACCTGTTTTGCCTTGTCCTAAGGTGTTCAACTRAAGTTAGGAAGTTTAGAAGGTAATGTGGGTTCCCTGTCAGTGGAAAAACCCCCATGGCATGTCAAAAATATGAGCCAATGCTTTGGTTTAAGTCTGCCTGGCTTTCTACCACATTTTGAATGTAAGTGATGAGGAGGAAACATACCTGGTTCCCAGACCACCATGCTGTACAAATAGGGGTTTCAGACCTGAGCTTTCAAACAGGAAAGGTTTAGATGGCCCAATTCTGGTGCCAAACTTTTAAAAAATTACCAGGACTTGTGCTACATTAAGGAATGAACTACATTTACCTTTGACAATAAACTGTACTTGGTATGTAATCTTGCAGAGGGTGTTGCCCTATTTTCCATGTCCAAAGACCTTGGAAAAGGGATGCTTTGGCCTTGAAACCCAACATGTTACCTGAGAGAGGATAGCAGGCCACTCCTCTGCCTTGTGTTTGCAAAGTTCTAAAGGGCTTCAAGAGTTCACAGGACTAAGGGGACAAATTACGTTTTCTAAATGGCAGTGCTCAGGATATATTCCAAGTAGATGTTCTGCAATATATGTACTGTAATGAAAGAGACTTACGGACATGCTGGCATGAAAGTTTGCCTGTCTGGCATGGTAAGAAGGGATAGTGAAAATGAAACTGCTGGGACAGA